GAAGTCATATTCCCAAGAGGCTACTCAGTTTGGAGACGTGACAGGAAAACTAGGAAGGGAGGAGGAGTGGCTGTACTGGTGAAAAAACACCTGAAGGTAAAAGAGTTAATATTTGAAAACCCTCGAGATATTGACATAATGGCATTGCAGGTCTGGAATCAGGATGATAAGCTGATAATTGTAAATGCCTACAGCCCACCAGCAAGCAACACGTGGACAAAGGAAGAACTGGATGACAAATGAGAGGGCCTCATAATGGTCATGAGAGATATTATTGTACAAGCAGATAAAGATAAATCACGACTGTTGATACTGGGGGACTTCAACTTTAGAGCAATAGACTGGGAGGCCTATGAAGCAAGAACGGAGGACTTTTGGACATGCAGATTTGTGAACCTCATTCTGGAGACATTCTTGTATCAACACATAAAGCAAGCCACAAGAATGAGGGAAGGAGATATACCGTCAGTACTGGATCTAGTATTCACCAGAAAAGAAGAAGAGATTTTTGACATCCAGTACCTTCCTCCCTTGAGAAAGAGTGATCACGTCCTGTTAGACATTAAATATGCTTTAAGATATCATCTAGAAGAAAATGGGGACATTGAAACAGTTGATAAACTCGATTTAAAGAGAGGCAACTATGGGGAACTTCAAAATTTTTTTAATGAGTGTAATTGGACAGAATTGTTGCTAGGCAGGGAAGTAAATGAAATGTATGCCAAATTTTTAAAACTATACGAGGAAGGCACACAAACATTCATACCAAAACAGAGATGCAGGACCAGAAAACAGGATTGGTTCGACAGAAATTGTGAGAGGGCAAGAGACCAAAAGACACAAAAATGGAATCAGTATAGGAAGAGGCCAAACCCCCAAACATACCAGCGATACAAAGATGCGAGAAACAATTATACAGCAGTAAGGAGAGAGGCAGAAAGAAATTTTGAAAAAGGGATAGCAGATAAATGTAAAACAGAACCGGGCCTATTCTACAAATTCATAAACAACAAATTGCAAGTAAAGGATAATATCCAGAGGTTGAAAATGGGAAACAGATTCACGGAAAATGAAAAGGAAATGTGTGAAACATTAAATGAAAAGTTCCAAAGTGTGTTTGTACAAAATGAAATCTTCAGAGAACCAGACACAATAAGAATTCCAGAGAACAACATAGAGCGGATAGAGGTGTCTAGAGTTGAAGTGGAAAATATGCTAAAGGAGCTCGGGAGGAACAAAGCAGCTGGCCCAGATGGCGTTTCACCATGGGTTCTGAGAGAATGTGCATCTGAGCTCAGCATTCCACTTCACCTGATCTTTCAGGCATCCCTGTGTACAGGAATCGTAGCAGACGTGTGGAAACAGGCTAACATAGTTCCAATCTACAAAAGTGGCAGCAGGGAAGACCCCCTCAATTATAGACCTGTATCATTGACAAGTGTAATAGTGAAAGTATTGGAAAAGCTAATCAAAACTAAATGGGTAGAACACCTGGAGAGAAATGATATAATATCAGACAGACAGTATGGTTTTCGATCAGGAAGATCCTGTGTATCGAATTTACTCAGTTTCTATGATCGGGCCACAGAGATATTACAGGAAAGAGATGGCTGGGTTGACTGCATCTATCTGGACCTAAAAAAGGCTTTCGACAGAGTTCCACATAAGAGGTTGTTCTGGAAACTGGAAAATATTGGAGGGGTGACAGGTAAGCTTCTATCATGGATGAAAAATTATCTGACTGATAGAAAAATGAGGGCAGTAATCAGAGGCAATGTATCGGAATGGAGAAATGTCACAAGTGGAGTACCACAGGGTTCAGTTCTTGCACCAGTGATGTTTATTGTGTACATAAATGATCTACCAGTTGGTATACAGAATTATATGAACATGTTTGCTGATGATGCTAAGATAATAGGAAGGATAAGAAATTTAGATGATTGTCATGCCCTTCAAGAAGACCTGGACAAAATAAGTATATGGAGCACCACCTGGCAAATGGAATTTAATGTTAATAAATGTCATGTTATGGAATGTGGAATAGAAGAACATAGACCCCATACAACCTATATATTATGTGAGAAATCTTTAAAAATTCTGATAAAGAAAGAGATCTAGGGGTGGTTCTAGATAGAAAACTATCACCTGAGGACCACATAAAGAATATTGTGCAAGGAGCCTATGCGATGCTTTCTAACTTCAGAATTGCATTTAAATACATGGATGGCGATATACTAAAGAAATTGTTCATGACTTTTGTTAGGCCAAAGCTAGACTATGCAGTTGTTGTGTGGTGCCCATATCTTAAGAAGCACATCAACAAACTGGAAAAGGTGCAAAGACATGCTACGAAGTGGCTCCCAGAACTGAAGGGCAAGAGCTACGAGGAGAGGTTGGAAGCATTAAACATGCCAAAACTAGAAGACAGAAGAAAAAGAGGTGATATGATCACTACGTACAAAATAGTAACAGGAATTGATAAAATCGACAGGGAAGGATTCCTGAGACCTGGCACTTCAAGAACAAGAGGTCATAGATTTAAACTAGCTAAACACAGATGCCGAAGAAATATAAGAAAATTCACCTTCGCAAATAGAGTGGTAGACGGTTGGAACAAGTTAAGTGAGAAGGTGGTGGAGGCCAAGACCGTCAGTAGTTTCAAAGCGTTATATGACAAAGAGTGCTGGGAAGACGGGACACCACGAGCGTAGCTCTCATCCTGTAACTACACTTAGGTAATTACACTTAGGTAATTACACACACACACACACATATATAGATAGTTAGAAAAAGTTAGGTTAGGTTAGGTAGTCGAAAAACAATTAATTCATGAAAACTTGGCTTATTAGGCAAATTGGGCCTTGCATAGTAGGCTGACAAGTGAGTTCTGGCTACTAGGTACGACATATATATGTATGTATGTATGTATGTGTGTATAATTGGCTGTTGATTGCTGGTGTTGACTTCTTGATGTGTAGTGCCTCGCAAACGTCAAGCCGCCTGCTATCGCTGTATCTATCGATGATTTCTGTGTTGTTTACTAGGATTTCTCTGGCGATGGTTTGGTTGTGGGAAGAGATTATATGTTCCTTAATGGAGCCCTGTTGCTTATGCATCGTTAAACGCCTAGAAAGAGATGTTGTTGTCTTGCCTATATACTGGGTTTTTTGGAGCTTACAGTCCCCAAGAGGGCATTTGAAGGCATAGACGACGTTAGTCTCTTTTAAAGCGTTCTGTTTTGTGTCTGGAGAGTTTCTCATGAGTAGGCTGGCCGTTTTTCTGGTTTTATAGTAAATCGTCAGTTGTATCCTCTGATTTTTGTCTGTAGGGATAACGTTTCTATTAACAATATCTTTCAGGACCCTTTCCTCCGTTTTATGAGCTGTGGAAAAGAAGTTCCTGTAAAATAGTCTAATAGGGGGTATAGGTGTTGTGTTAGTTGTCTCTTCAGAGGTTGCATGGCTTTTCACTTTCCTTTTTATGATGTCTTCGACGAAACCATTGGAGAAGCCGTTATTGACTAGGACCTGCCTTACCCTACAGAGTTCTTCGTCGACTTGCTTCCATTCTGAGCTGTGGCTGAGAGCACGGTCGACATATGCGTTAACAACACTCCTCTTGTACCTGTCTGGGCAGTCGCTGTTGGCATTTAGGCACATTCCTATGTTTGTTTCCTTAGTGTAGACTGCAGTGTGGAAACCTCCGCCCTTTTCCATGACTGTTACATCTAGAAAGGGCAGCTTCCCATCCTTTTCCATCTCGTAAGTGAAACGCAGCACGGAACTCTGCTCAAATGCCTCCTTCAGCTCCTGCAGATGTCTGACATCAGGTACCTGTGTAAAAATGTCGTCAACATACCTGCAGTATATGGCCGGTTTCAAGTTCATGTCGACTAAGACTTTTTGCTCGATGGTACCCATGTAGAAGTTTGCAAACAGGACACCTAGGGGAGAACCCATGGCGACCCCATCTACTTGCTTATACATGTGCCCATCCGGGCTCAAGAAGGGTGCCTCTTTAGTACAAGCTTGGAGTAGTTTCCTCAGAATATTTTCTGGTATGTCAAGACATACCAGAAAGACATCTTGACATACCAGAAAATATTCTGAGGAAACTACTCCAAGCTTGTACTAAAGAGGCACCCTTCTTGCACACAGAGCGAACACTATGCTGACCAGACAAAGATGGTTCAGGAGCAGTCACTGGCTCAGAAACTGACACCAAAGGCCCACCTCGACCATCAGATGCCGGAGCCTTGCATGACCCTTCTGGGAAGTACACGAGCGCGCACCCCGGACAACAAGCATATTCGAAAGAGAACGGCAACTTATAGAAGCCGCCTGGAGAAACCTAGGGGTGGGGGGTCGGCGCAAATGAGTGGTGCGTGGTGTGATGACATGTTAATTGTTAGATTGTTTTTATTTGAAGGAGTTTCTTGCCTCTGTTCAGTCTTAGGTTGCAATATTCTACCAGAAGGGGTCTGTTTTGAAGCGCCTACCTTTCTGGGTGCTCAACCCCAGTGGATGGCACACATGAAGACTTTTATACATAAGAGTTTCATAGGCCATTGCTTCCTTCGCGCCTCTGAGGCGACCATGTTCTGGTTAGTGGTCTCTAGTAGGCATGACAACTCCACAAGACTGAAGCCCAGTACTAATATTAGCTAATATCAGTCCAACAGCCTCAGGGCTCTACCCAGAAAATGGTGTTTCATTACATTGAACTCTGGTTATTTGTATTTGAATACAAGCAAATTTATGTTTTGTATATTTGATGTAATAAAATGTCATTAATTGTGGTACAAAAATAGGGTGAACTAAATGTTTCACGACAATGTTAGGCCCAGAGCTAAGGAGTACAAGTATGTGAGCCTACCTCTAAATTCTTGCTTGTTATAAATAAAAGAGAAAGTTTTATATGTAGTTTTCTTAAAAATTGTATAGCTTTAATAATAAGGCCTCACTTTATGAATGTTCATTAATAATGATTATTAATTACAGCAAAAAGAAATAGAAATTCGTCGTCAGTTTCGTGATACAATCAATATACAGCGTCAGCAATATAAAGAATATAAGGCGCAAATTTTAGCCAAAACTCCAAAAGAGGATCAACGAGCCATCATCAAGAGGTTAAAAGAAGATCAGCGGAGAAAATTAGCTATGCTGGGTGACCAGTATGAACAGTCAATTGCAGAAATGCTTCAGAGACAGTCACTGCGACTGGATGAAAGTCAAGTATGTTCTATATGTTGTAGTTTCATGACAAATCTGCTCATCTTTCTCATTTGAAATATTTCAGAAATTATTTAACCTATCCTTTTGAAACTAATGTCATAAGTTTTTAATATTGTTGTTAACACATGCACATGTCGACACATGATTAATGTGTTGCTGTTTAACCCTTAAACTGCGTAACACGTCATATGACGTGTTGAATAACTTACCCAAAATTGTGCATCACGTCATATAATGTGTTGGAGTACTACGCAAGATTTAAACAGATCGCGGATACACGAAGTTCAACTCACCTTCATCAGGGCTCTTGTAAACAGACGCCATTTTTTTTTAAATTGTGGGCAACATTCCTCGATGTTAGGACCTCAGTACTGAGTGAGCCACCAAGGTTGGCACACACATCATGAGCTCACAGCACTGCTGTTCAGCTTGTGACCACAGCATCACCTAAAAATGTCAAAATACATAAATACAAGCTATTATTTAGCGATGATAATATTACAGAAGACTGATAAGTCCCAGAATCCAGAATTATCAGAATCCTGGACTGATAAGTCCAGGATTCTGATAATAGCAAGATTGTTGTGATAATTAGCACTGTAGTGGGAGGAATAATCTTGGTGGGGAGAGAAGTAGCATTATCTGCTGACTTTGTGTGACCACCTTTTACTGTCTGGACTCACTATACCAGCTTAGTGGTTCACTATGGTGAACAAAACATGCAGATACTTATATATAACTTCTGTATATAGTGAATAAAAGCAAAAAACAGTATGGTGGGAAGAGAAGGTTGGCGAGTCAGGTGAGGTTATGTAGGGAGGGAGTGGCAGCCAGTGACAGGCTAGCTGGTGTGTGGTGGTCACTCCTTGCAGTTGTTTGAGTCAGCATACCAACTTAGTGATTTCTTATGGTGAACACAAATGTAGATACTTATATATAACATTTATATATAGTGTAATGACAGCAAAAGAAGTGTTGAGAGAAGTCATTTTGATGAGGTAGGTGGCGACATCTTCATGCAGGCGATGAGTCACAATAACGTGGCTGAAGAATGTTGACCAGACTACACACTAGAAGGTGAAGGGGCGACGACGTTTCGGTTCATCTTGGACCATTCTCAAGTTGATTATGATAATCTCACAATCGACTGGAGAATGGTCCAGGACGGATCGAAATGTCGTCGTCCCTTCACCTTCTAGTGTGTGGTCTGGTTGACATCTGCATGACTTGTCATGCTGGGTAAGGGTGGCTACTATGCTCTTTGGGCACTATACTGCCTTAGTTAAACAATTATGGTGAACAAAACATGTAGATACTTACATATAATGTGTGTGTATATAGGGTAATAACACCACAAACAGTATCCTTGAAGGAGGAATGTTAGTGTGCCTGGCCTTGAAGCAGTGACGATGGGAGGGAGGGAGGGAGGGATCATGAGTTGTGTGAGGCCACCTGTTACTGTCTGCTGTCATCATACAAGATTAGTGGTTCGCTATGAGGAACACAAATGTAGATACTTGTATATAACCTGTGTATATAGTGTAGTAACCGACAAAGTATTTGTTCACTGTTTTATGAACATAATAATTGAATCAATAATATTCACACCATAATTTTGAGTACAGCGATGATTCACACATTTTATTATATTATTATATAAATATATCACACTACACACTATTGAATAATAATAGAGCAAAAAAAAAAAAAAAAAAAAAAAAAATCAGAGACATTGAAATAATTAGGTAGTCAAATCTTTGTGGCAACCCCCTGCCAGACAGCTGGGGTGAAGCAGAATTCCCCCAACGCTTGTTGTGTCAGTGCCTCTTTTTTGCCAGAATTCCCCGACCTATTGCGGCCAAAATATGCCACTTAATATTTTTTATTATTTTTCCCGTGATCAGGGAACACAAATTAACAGGTTAAGAAGATTTTTTTTTAATTTTTTCTTGTTATGCGCCTGTGGGTGACAAATGCCAAATTGCCCTTAGCAACACAAGGGTTAATGCGACAACTCTATGATGGGCGTAAAAATGATTATTCCCCCCAAATTTGTTTTTGTTTTAATATCTTTAATATCCCTTCCCTGATCATTGCAATGCAGAAAAAAAATTTAAAATTCTTCTTACTTTGCCTGCAGTGAGGTAGAGAAGTTGCTCAATGATGCTATCAAATAATGAGTACTCATTTACCTGGGCTGTATGGGTCTTGAACCATGGACCCCCACGTGTGTGAAGCCGTAGCTCTATCAACTAGGTTATGAGCCGTCTTAAAAAGAAATGTTTCCAGTAGCAGCATCCTGCTGCCAAACTGGAATTTTCAACTTTCCCTGACTACTACTGAAGCCCAGAGGATTAAGAAAAAAAAAAAAAACTGACCTACATCCACATTATATAATTGGTCATTCACATTTCCGCAGAAGTGTGGCTGACAATTTATATGATGTGGGTGTAGATCAGTAATTCCTCTGGGCTTCAGTAGTACTCAGGGTTGAAAATTCCAGTTTGGCAGCAGGATGCTGCTTCTGGAAACTTTCCGTTTTAAGACTGCTCTTAGCCTAGTTGATAGAGCTACGGCCTCAGACAAGTGGGGTACACGGTTCGAGGCCCATACAGCTTAGGTGAATGGAATGTTTATTTCTGCAGAAGTGTGGATGGCAATTTTTCATAAGCACTCGTGCAGAACTGAACCCTGTGGTACTCCACTTGTGACATTTCTCCAGTCCGATACAATCGGTCCAGTTTCCAGGACAACCTCTTATGTGGAACTCTGTCGAAAAAGGTTTTCGACAGAGTTCCACATAAGAGGTTGTTCTGGAAACTGGAAAATATTGGAGGGGTGACAGGTAAACTTCTAACATGGATGAAAAATTTTCTGACTGATAGAAAAATGAGGGCAGTGATCAGAGGCAATGTATCGGACTGGAGAAATGTCACAAGTGGAGTACCACAGGGTTCATTTATTGCACCAGTGATGTTTATTGTCTACATAAATGATCTACCAGTTGGTATACAGAATTATATGAACATGTTTGCTGATGATGCTAAGATAAATGGAAGGATAAGAAACTTAGATGATTGTCATGCCTTTCAAGATGACCTGGACAAAATAAGTATATGGAGCACCACTTGTCAAATGGAATTTAATGTTAATTAATAAATGCCATGTTATGGAATGTGGAATAGGAGAACATAGACCTCACACAACCTATATATTATGTGAGAAATCTTTAAAGAATTCTGATAAAGAAAGAGATCTAGGGGTGGTTCTAGATAGAAAACTATCACCTGAGGACCACATAAAGAATATTGTGCAAGGAGCCTATGCTATGCTTTCTAACTTCAGAATTGCTTTTAAATACATGGATGGGGATATACTAAAGAAATTGTTCATGACTTTTGTTAGGCTAAAGCTAGAATATGCAGCTGTTGTGTGGTGCCCATATCTTAAGAAGCACATCAACAAACTGGAAAAGGTGCAAAGACATGCTACTAAGTGGCTCCCAGAACTGAAGGGCAAGAGCCATGAGGAGAGGTTAGAGGCATTAAATATGCCAAAACTAGAAGACAGAAGAAAAATAGGTGATATGATCACTACATACAAAATAGTAACAGGAATTGATAAAATCGATAGGGAAGATTTCCTGAGACCTGGACCTTTAAGAACAAGAGGTCATAGATTTAAACTAGCTAAACACAGATGCCGAAGAAATATAAGAAAATTCACTTTCACAGAGTGGTAGATGGTTGGAACAAGTTAGGTGAGAAGGTGGTGGAGGCCAAGACTGTCAGTAGTTTCAAAGCGTTATATGACAAAGAGTGCTGGGAAGATGGGACACCACGAGCGTAGCTCTCATCCTGTAACTACACTTAGGTAACACTTAGGTAATTACAGACAGTGGCACCTCGACTTACGATAATTTCGAGTTACGATGTAAATTTGATCGAAAAATGCGACTCAACATACGATGGTGTCATCGACTAAAGATATTTGATGGTACACCTTTGGGTCGACCGAGCGCGTGGTTCTCGGTCACGTGGGCCGACCTGCCTCAGTTTACTACAGCTGCCCGCTTAGTGACGATCACGCTTATAAGAAATTCTGTTTTTGTGGTGATTTTTTGCTTTTTGAACATAAAAGTAATTATTATATATCACGCCATGGATCCCAAGAAAGTTAGTGGTAAGGTTCAACATATGTAAACCCATGTAAGGATGACCATAGAGCAAAAACAAGACATCATTCGTAAATATGAAGATGGTGTGCGGGTTGTTGGACAGGCTAGGCAGTACAACAAATCTCAGTCAACGATATCCACCATACTGGCTAAGAAAAAGGACATTATGGGTGCTAAAGTGGCAAAAGGCGTATCAATAATCACGAAACATAGAACACAAACACTTAAGAATGTTGAACAGTTATTATTAATTTGGATACACAGCAAGGAGTTAGCGGGTGATAGAGTTTCAGAGGCCATCATTTGTGAAAAAGCAAGGAAATTGCATGAAAACCTTTTAAAGAAAACCCCTGGAACAAGTGATGGAAATGCGAAAGAGTTTAAGGTACTTGTACCCTGCATGTAACCAATATTGTAACTTTTTTTTGTGTAATGACATTTTCAAATAAAGTTAGATATATATACACACAAAAAGAATAGGGGTGGTAGGAGAAGAAAATATCAATGTTCAGTGAGGTTCCACAAGGTCTTCTCTGAGTACTCCTTATTTTCTTCTCCGAGGGAGGGAGGGAGAGATGGTAGAAGGTAGTCAGGAAGGGAGGGAAGTAGTGAGGGAGGGAGGGAGAATTAGGGAGGGAGGGAGAATTAGGGAGGGAGGGAGGCATGGAGGAAGGGAAAGGCAGGCTGGCTGGCCTGGCCTGGCCTGGCCTGGCCTGGCCTGGCCTGGCCTGGCCTGGCCTGGCCTGGCCTGGCCTGGCCTGGCCTGGCCTGGCATGGCCTGGCCTGGGCTGGGCTGGGCCTGGCTGGCCTGGCTGGCCTGGCTTGGACTGGGCTGGGCTGGGCTGGGCTGGATGGGGCGAGGGGAGGGGAAGGGAGGTAGGTAGGTAGGTAGGTAGGTAGGTAGGTAGGTAGGTAGGTAGGTAGGTAGGTAGGTAGGTAGGTTTGTTGAGTTCAGTTCAGTTCAGTTCAGTTGAGCTACATGACCTTGAAGCAGAGTGTGTGTATGGGCTTTAGGGGTGGTGGGGGAGGGCGGGCTCACTTATAACCCTAGTACACTTAACTCTGTTTTGTTTTTTAAATTCTGGATGTACATCATCATATATATTTTTGGTTATAGATTTTGTTTAGTAATATTATTAGGATAATAAAAAGTTATAAAAATACTTGTTTCATGAATGCTTTATTGTATTAGATGGAGATTCTCCAGGCTCTCTGGCTTGCAATCTACTAAGCTAGCCACCTGGGGGCAGTGAGGGTGTACTTACCTAGTTGTGCTTGAGGTTGTTGAGCTCTGGCTCTTTGGTCTCGCCTCTCCTGAGGGAGAAGTGTATCAGGACTTATCTTATTGGTGAGTGGAAACAAAATACTGTTGCAGTTATGCTATGAACCTGTCAATTTTTTCTCTCCATTTTCCTCCATTTCTCGTTAACGAACTGACAAGATAACCGATGGATTGCCTCCTCAAGGGGTTCGCAAAGCAAGTGGTCCTCTGTAATTACCTAAGTGTAGTTACAGGATGAGAGCTATGCTCGTGGTGTCCCGTCTTCCCAGCACTCTTTGTCATATAACGCTTTGAAACTACTGACGGTCTTGGCCTCCACCACCTTCTCACCTAACTTGTTTCAACCATCTACCACTCTGTTTGTGAAAGTGAATTTTCTTATATTTCTTCACATCTGTGTTTAGCTAGTTTAAATCTATGACCTCTTGTTCTTAAAGTTCCAGGTCTCCAGGTTTCCTTGGGATTGTAGGGAGTTCTTCCTCTCTGTTCAGTTTTTGTTGTTAGTTTTTTACCATGTGGGGTGTGTTTTGTTATGCCTACCGTTCTGGGTGCCTAACCCCGGTCGATGTCAGATAAGGAAAACACCAAATCACAGGAGGGTTTTCCAGGGCCATTGCTCCCTGAAACCTCTCTGAAGGGGCCAGGTTCTGGCTCATGGTCCCTGGTAGGTGTGAACTCCATAGCTAATGTCTCAGTCTAATATAGCATACTCCAATATGATAAGCTCCAGGAAGCCTCCAGGGATCACCCAGACAATGGCTGGATGTATATTATTATTACATTCAACGCTGGTTTCTATCACGTGATCCAAGGGGGCGACTGGGTGCTGGATGCACTTTCATCAGCTATGGTTGCTCACTTCCAATACGTTAGGCATTCATTGGCTTTCCAGGTTACCTCATGCGAGTTTTGAATCGTACGCTATACCTACAAACGAGTTTTCCCAGTGAGTGCATCACCCGTCAACTGAGATATCTTGGTGAGGGCAGTAAAGGGGTTAAAGAACACAGGCATTAAGAATAAAGAATAAAGAACACACACACATAAATCCCAACATAAATTTTCTGTAAGGACAGTATGTTGATTATGCAAATAGCTATTATTTTATTTGTTTATTTTAAGGTTGTGGAACAACAGCAATTAACAGAGAAGCTAGAAAGAGAATTAGAGATGTTAGCCGAATACCAAACTCGTAATCGCCAACAAGCCGAGGCTCAACGTAACCGAGAAAAGAGAGAACTAGATGATAGAGTTGCACTCAGGAGAACTTTACTACAACAGAAGGTATGTTAAATTTATCAATTTAAATTTATCGATGTAAGAGTGAAATTCCAAATGAACATCTGATGAATGCTGATTACAGTAGTTACCTATATTTGACTACAGGCAGGTGAGATCTAGCGCATTATTTTATGACCCCCCTCACCTAGCTATTTATACCTTGTGTGCTAAATACCTCTCTTAACATTGACTTATCATTTTTGTTGTTTTTAAATTGTGGATGGAATTGGCTTCAACAACCTCCTTGCCTCCTAGCTCCTTCAGTGCATTCCACTTGATCACCCATACATCAGATTGAGAACTTCCTTACATCTTTTTTTACTCATATGCATATTCCGCTTCCATTGATGTTCCCTTGTCTCCTCATCCTCATAAGGCCCTCATCTGGTCCCCATCTTCAAGTTGGTTCGGGAGCACTGGCTGGAGGAGGAGGGGGAAGGGATGAGGTGGGTGACATACTCGGCTCAGCTGCGAGCCTTGTCACCTTATTTCTCAAACAAGTATGACATGAGGTGGACGTTCCTTCATCTTCCACCTCTTCTTAGACACGTAGGGCATTGTTTATAATAACGATGCAGCTGTGGCAAAAGTGTGGGATACGCCACGACATAATAGCGCGTTGACACAAGCCATCATGCTACTGAGACTGCTGGCCTCTGTCTCCCACATGGAGATGCGCTGTTGCAATGTCTCAATATTATTATTTATATATAATTCTCCAATTTTTCTGCACCAAATCTTAATTTTCGTCAACACTCACGCGCGATCGTTCGGTCGCACCTCCGAAGATAGTAAGTTGCGTGGTCAGGGGGGGGGGTGGAAGAATTATTTGTAAAATATTTATTTTTTAAAATATTAGAACGATTTTTTTGCAACTGCTGCTACACCCTACACAATTTCCGGTGAATGTTTAAAGAATATTTGATTTTTAGTCAATATTTTTCATTTCCTGGCCCCTTAATTTAAATAGGCTTGCTTTCTCCACATTGTCCATTCCCATCAGATTGTGTAAGTAGTTGTCATATTCCCTTTGTTTCCTTTCTCTAAGGTTGTGAGGGAAAGTTTTCTCAACCTGTCCCCATAGCTGAGGCTTCTCAATTCTGGTACTAACCTAGTTGCAAACCTCTGACATTATTCAATTTTCTGTTTATGCTTCACTCTCTTTGGGTTCCATGCTAGAGCTGCATACATAAGTAATGGTCTCACAAAAGCCTTGTGTAAGGACTTGAAGTCCTCCTTGTTTAGATTCGTTAATGACATTTCTTATGTTCGCTAACTTCCCTTATGCTGCTGATGTTATTCTGTTCACATAAGCTGCTGGTGTTAGTGTTTGAAGCATATCTACTCCCAGGTCTTCTCTTATTGTAATTGCCTTAATCTTATGGTGTATTCCATATTCCTTACTTATTTTCAATATTTTACTCATTCTGTATTTGAATTGAACTCCAATCCAAATTGCAGCATTTTTTATCTGCTCATTCCTGAAGTGTGATATAGTCACCTTGTAACATCTTACAGTCCTCTACAGTTCTTACTGTCTTCATTAACTTTGCATCAACTGCAAACGTTGACATGTACAAGCTCACTTCTACTGCTAGGTCATTTACATAAATTAATACAGCAATGTCCTTGAACAGAGCCCTGTAGTACACTTTCCTCTTCTTTCTATTCTGGCATGTCCTCTCTGACTATGACCCTCAGTTTCCTGTCCTTTAAGTATTCCTGAACCCAGTCCAGTGCATTTCCTGTTGTTCTTGCTACTCTGTCTTGTGTATTAGTCTTTTGTGAGGAACTGTATCAAATTCGTTTTGGCAATGTAGGAAGATGCAATCTACCCATTCTTCCTTCTCACACATTATTATGGTGACCCTGTCATAGAATTCAGTTAAGTTTGTTGAGCATGGTTTTCCCTCTGAAGCCATGTTGTGCCTGTTATAATGACACTGGTATATAGTTTACTGCTTCCTGTTTGTTCCCTTTCTTGAATAATGGTGCTACATTTGCCTTTTATCAGATTTCTGGTAACTCACATGTCTAGTGTAATGTAGTTAATGGGTATTACAAGATCCCTGCAGTTCTCTTCAGTGATCATGGTAATATCTGGTCTGGTCCTACAACTTTTGTTACATTCAGTTCCTCTTTTAAGTTAACTTCAATTCTGTCTATTGTTGTTTCTGTTCATCTGTTGTCATCTCTACTTGGACACGAATCAAGTTCCGGTTTGAAGACCCCCTAGAACCTCGTGTTGAGTTCTTCACACACACTTCTTTATTAACCACCGTGCTGCGCCGAGTTTATTATGAAATTCCCCCGATGCCCATGAAATAGAGTGTTCCCCCCAAAATTATTTTTTCTTCGTAAAATGATAAATTCCTTTCCCTGAACATGTCTATGTAAAAATAAATACCAAATTCCACTTACTTTGGCTGTGGGAACGTGGACAAGTTGCGCTGTGACATCATTAGGGCCTGGTCGCCCGTGTGTGACTCACCCAGACACGGTCGCGCGGACCATTCAAGCACCGGGTGTTGCACAAATATATTTTCAATTATTTGTGCAATGTATTTCCAATGCAGTTTTTTTTTTTTTTTATCGTATATGCTGCATATTTGTGTCCTTTACAATGTGTATACAGTAGAACGTTCATAATGTTCTATGGAACTGTGATACATGTCAGTAATGTGTCCACAATAAATGTTTATTGTCGCAATATACCTGTTAAAAATTCACTAAAATTACAATATGTACAGTTTCACACACTATTTACACAGTAACACACTGTATTACACAGTACTTCAGAAGTGAGTAATAATCAACGAAGTAGTCCATGGTACACAGCGCGACTTTGCTCTCAGTGCACCAGGCACAGATAAAATTTCGCTTCCTGTTTCTTCATTCTGTGTGCTTGCAAATAATGCACTCACGTACACGCTTGGCTTTAGTACTTGTTGGTTGTATGTAACCAACATGTATGTAAAAATTTTTCATGGATACGATACCAACATCAAATCATATATCAGACGTCACCCTATCCCCACTGGATTTTGAAGAAGCCATAAACAGTATGCCTATGCACTCTGCACCAGGCCCGGATTCTTGGAACTCCATATTCATAAAGAACTGTAAAAAACCACTATCGCAGGCCCTCCACATTCTGTGGAGACAAAGCCTAGATACTGGCGTTATTCCTGATATACTAAAAACAGCAGAGATAGCACCACTTCATAAAGGAGGAAATAAGGCAGAGGCAAAAAATTACAGACCGATAGCGCTAACATCGCACATCATAAAAATTTTTGAGAGAGTGCTAAGAAGTAAAATCACAAAATACATGGAATCACAGCAACTCCATAACCCCGGACAACATGGTTTCAGAACAGGGCGCTCTTGCCTGTCGCAGTTGCTGGACCACTATGATATGGCATTAGATGCTATGGAAGACAAACATAACGCGGATGTAATTTACACAGATTTCGCAAAAGCTTTTGATAAATGTGACCATGGTGTTATTGCACATAAAATGCGTTCAAAAGGAATTACCGGAAAAATAGGCAGATGGATCTACAATTTCCTGACCAACAGAACCCAATGTGTAATAGTCAACAAAATAAAATCCAGCCCATCAACCGTGAAGAACTCAGTCCCCCAGGGTACTGTGCTTGCTCCAGTACTTTTTCTCATCCTCATTTCGGACATAGACAAGAACACAACTTATAGCACTGTATCATCCTTTGCAGATGACACTAGGATCTTCATGAGAGTAGGCAACATAGAGGACACGGCGAACCTCCAGTCAGATGTAGATCAGGTCTTTCTATGGGCTACAGAAAATAATATGGTGTTTAACGAAGATAAGTTCCAGCTCATGCGCTATGGAAAAAATGAAAATATAAAAATGGAAACCATGTACAAAACTCAGGCAAATCATAACATAGAACGAAAAGGCAATGTAAAGGATCTGGGTGTACTCATGTCGGAAGACCTTACCTTAAAAGAACACAATAAAGTAGCTGTCACAACTGCAAGAAAAATGACAGGTTGGATAACAAGAACTTTTCACACTAGAGATGCTATACCGATGATGATACTTTTCAAAACGCTTGTGCTCTCTAGAGTAGAGTACTGCTGCACAATGACAGCACCTTTCAAAGCTGGAGAAATTGCTGACCTGGAGAGTGTGCAGAGATCCTTTACTGCTAGAATCCACCCAGTAAAACATCTAAACTATTGGGACCGACTAAAGAGCCTAAAACTGTACTCCCTTGAGCGCAGGCGGGAGAGGTACATAATAATTTACACGTGGAAAATATTAGAGGGGCTGGTCCCAAACCTGGACACAGAAATAACATCACATGAGACCAGAAGACATGGCAGGATGTGCAGAATACCCCCGTTGAAAAACAGAGGTGCAACTGGTACTCTGAGAGAGAACTCTATCAACATCAGAGGTCCGAGACTGTTCAACACGCTTCCACTACACATAAGGGGCATAACTGGCCGACCCCTCACAGTGTTCAAGAGAGAACTGGATAAGCACCTCCAAAGGATACCTGATCAACCAGGCTGTGACTCATACGTCAGGCTGCGAACAGCCGCGTCCAACAGCCTGGTTGATCAGTCCGGCAACCAGGAGGCCTGGTCGACGACCGGGCCGCGGGGACGCTAAGCCCCAGAAGCACCTCAAGGTAACCTCAAGGTAAGCTAGTAAAGCATAAGGTAGTATTGAAAAGATTATAGCAAAAGATCAATTTGTAAAGTAGTCTTGTAAAGATCGCTTTGTATGGTCCCACACAGGAAGTGATTCAGCTTGCCTCAAAGAGTGTCCATCAATTAGGAAGAGATTCAGGTATTCTTGAAAATATCTATGGAAAACACCACCATGGAAGCCGCTAACACTGTTCATCTATGTTACTTGTATCAGATGCATCATCACTGAACGCAGAAAACGATTCATCTATGTATCATCTAAATAAATTGGAGATAGCATAGGATTGCATGGGTGA